ATTTAGCTGCAAGGTAGCATTTAGTTTACTCAATATAAATAATATTTAATTGTATTACAATGGTTATTTTTAATGTGCCTATAACCCTTATTTTTAATAGTCTAACTTTTGTAACGTGATCAATATTTCACGTAAACTCTACTATTTTTTTCGTATTTACTTTTCGATTTTAGTATACGTATTCGTGTTGGCCAAAGACAACTATGCTTTAGGATTTTAAATTCACTATTTGGTATTTACCATATTCAACCTTTTAATTTTTGATCCAGGATATTTATATGTTTGCCATCATGCTTTTATTATAGGTTTCCCTGCTAAAAAGACGCTTCATGACAGCTTCGGTTTAATCAAATGAATACTTACTTTCGTGCCTCTTAGTCTACCAGAATGTGAATCAAACAACTTAGCTGTCTACCTTTATACTACTATACTCATGAAATTGAAGTCGGTCTTTTTTTCACTACATACTTTCAGCTAAGCTAAACTTTTCTTAAATCATGTGACTAATATTAAGAATACATCTCAATTTTAGTATACGTATTCGTGTTGGCCAAAGACAACTAAGCTTTAGAGATTTTAAGTTTACTATTTGGTATTTATCACATTCAACCATTTACTTTTTGATTAAGGATATTTATATGTTGCCATTATGCTTTTATTATAGGTTTCTCTGCTAAAAAGACACTCCACGACGTCTTCGGTTTACTCAAATGAACACTTACTTTCATGCCTCTTATTTCACCGGAATGTGAATTAAACAACTTAGCTGACTACTTTTATACTACTATACTCATGAAATTGAAGTCGATCCTTTTCCACTACATACTTTCAGCTTCAGCTAAGCTAAACTTTTTTTAAATCATGTGGCTAATATTAAGATTACTATTTGCTAATACTGAGATTATTTCACACTACGTAGCACTCTTTTTTTTTAAAATTAAACGATACAATTAAATTATAAGATCACACAGAATAGTAGAAATATATTGCGCAGTATCACTATTAATATGCAAGTATATAATTACCCATTCAAGTACGACAAAAGTGATTATTTTTTCATGTTTTCATAAATGCTTTCATGACAGTTCATAAGCAATTTATAATTTAAAAGAAAATCAACCATTCATAAAACTCATACAATTCGACTTTATTATATTTTTAATGTTATTACTGCCAATTTTACAACATTACATAACTGATTAAATTAAATTTGATGAATTGTCATAATTTATTTTTAATAATCGCCAAATTTGCTTATATGTTATATCCGATTAATTAAATATTATATTTATTACTTTTTTCTTAAGTATTGTCACAATACTCACTCTTTTTGTAATGCATATAGTATTATCGCAAATTACCCCTTAATTAGACCCTCTATTATTACCACTGTTTAGCGATTAATGTGCATCTTTATATATATTTGTTATATTTTCCCAAACTTTGCACCTGCTTACTCAATCGTACTCACATTCACTACTAATGAAGTTTGAATAAAACAGCGGATATTATATGCACTACAATGTACTACACAATAAATTATAGACCTTCATAGAATAATATTTTATTATAATTGCTAAAAATAAAAAAAAATATGACTAAAAAATACAAGTAAATTACAACATATACTACAAATAAAATGAAATACTTATCATTTCTTACATTTATTTTCGCTTATTAGTAAATATAAATTTGTCATTATCATTTTTAATAAATATTAAGTATTATGCCCTGCTTACTGTGATCACGAAATTAGATAATGGATCTATTTTATGTACGTACGATTTTTAAAAATTTATGGGCTTTTTTGTTAGCTTTTTTTATATTTAAGTTAAGATTTGGGGTTAAAGTTATTAATAAAGTAGTATAGGTAAATTTTGGTAGAGTTTATATTTTCAAATCGAGACTTCTAAATTTCACCATAATCTGCTTTCACGATCATCTGCGCCAATATATAATATACACTACAGCATAGCCCTTCTCTAATGCATCATCTAAAAAGATCATCTGTAAAGAACCAATATATGCCATTATTGTCTTCTAAAATTGAAGCCATATTAGGAATAATACATAGGATGATAAAAAATAATTAAAAGTTTATTTTGATAAATAAATTAAAATTTAATTAAATTTTAATAAAACCATCCTGAGCTCAATTTTTCTAGTGAATTCTAAATGAATATATATTAAAATAACTAAATTGAATGTTAATACTGTACAACCCTAATAAATATAATTAACTAATTCATTATACAATATGACTTCAAACCGTGTGAACATATCTTTGTACACATCATGATAATATTTATAGATTACATTTAGACTAATTTAATATTTTACAGTATCTGAATATAAGTTACTTGATATCATGAAAACAACTAAACAACGTCGAAAAAGACTTACCAGAGAAAGGCAACAAAATTTCAAAAAGAGAAGAAATGTTAATGGCACGGAAACAAGAGTAGAAGTAGAGAACACAAATGTGCCAGAAATGATCCAAAATAATAATATTATTGAGTTAGTTGATCTGGAACTTCCTATTATTATAAATGAGATTAATAGTCAAGTTAATCAAAGAATATACAATAGAATAATACGTTATCAGCTGAGAAGGATAGATCAAATGTATATCTATTGTGGAGCTAAGTTTTGGATTGAAGAAAAAGATTATAGTAGTAACTACAGATCTTCAACATTTGCAACTTGCTGTGGTCATGACAAAGTTCGCTTACCACCTTTACTAGAACCACCACTATATTTACTTAATCTGTACACTTTATCTGAATCTACCACTAATTTATTTCATAAGAACATTAGAAAATATAACAGCATTTTAGCTTGCACATCATTCGGTGCCAATATTGCTAAATTTCTGGGAAGGGGTGTATCTAACTTTTGAATTCATGGTCAAGTCTATCATCAAATTGAATTCTTAATACCTGAAAAAGGTTATGCACCAAAGTATGCACAACTTTATATCTACAATACTGCAAATGAAAATCAACATAGACATAATATTATGCAAGATTTAGATGAAGGAATTCTACAGAATCTACAAAATATGCTTGATCAATACAATCCTTATATTCAAAATTTTCATCAGGTGAGAGATCTCATCCAGGCAAACCAAACAATCAAAGTTTCTTTGGTAATTTACAGCGATAGAACAAAGGATTCTCGCTGATATATTCTTACAGCCTTTGAAATAGCAGCTATTATGGTTGGTGATAGCCACAAGCTAATCCTTCTAATAGAGATATTCTTATTAGATTGTGTAATAGTGCTCTACAAAGAATTTCAGAACTATATCTATCATACAACCCCCTTCATTACATATTACTATTTCCAAGAGGTGACAATGGTTGGCATGTTGAAATACCTCTCATTGGGTCTCCTATAAGAGAAAAAGTATCAGTAATGCAATTTTATTTATATCGTTTACAAATTAGAGATAGAGATTGGATACATTGTGCTACTTGGTTATATCAGCAGTACGTTGTTGATCAGTATGCCAAGATGAAGCAAAATCATTTAAATTATATTAGACATAACCAACCATCACTTTGCATTAAACTATACAAAGGTATCGTGAATGCTATGTATAGAGGAGATGATAGCAATATTGGTCATTATATAATCCTTCTATCATCATTTGTGGGTGGACCACATCACATGTATTAGTTATACCAGGATACTATGGCTATCATATGATATTTCAGAAAGCCCAATCTTTTTGTTATATTTACCTGTAATTCTAAGTGGCCTGAAGTTACTAGAGAGCTACTTTCTAACCAAACTGCTACAGATAAACCTGATTTAACAGCTTGCATATTTCATATAAAATTACAAAAGCTGTTAAAAGATCTGTATCACAATTATTGGCTTGGCAGAGTTATCGCATATATATATGTTATTAAATTTCAGAAATGTGGCTTGTCTTACATGTATATTCTATTGATACTTGCTCCAGAGTATAAGTTAAAATCTACAGATGATTATAACTCCATCGTCTCTGCTGAGATTTCAGATCCTGCGCTACACTCTCTTGTATATGAGACTGTGTCAACCATGATAATGCATAGATCATATAGTATATTAAACCTAACCGCACTATATATGAAAGATGGTGTATATCAAAAATAGTATCCCAAAAATTTTCAAAAAAATACTCAAGAAAATAAAGATAGATACCCTGCTTACCATAAGCGACAAACAAATCATTTTGTTGAAATTAACAGAATTAAATTAAATAACCTATGGGTTATACTACATAATATCGTATTGGTTACAAAATATAATGCCCATATTAATATTAAAATTTGTAGTTCTATTTTAGTAGATAAATATTTGTACAAGTATATTTATAAGGATTAAGATTAGGCAACCATCACTCTTTCTTAATCCAGTAGTAATGAAATTCAACAGACACCAACTGAAGGTGAATCAATTAATGAAATCAAAATATATCTTGATGCATGATATATATCAGCTTCTAAAGCTGTCTAAAGACTCTTTCATTACAAAATACATGGCTGCACTCCAACTGTACAAAAACTCGCAATACACCTTCCAGATAAGCAATACATTTCTTTTCAAAATGAAGAATGTCTTCAAGACATTATAGAATATGCTAACACGTGTAAAATAACTCTAATAGCTTGGTTCTAGGAAAATTCAAATAATGCTTCAGCATGTAAATATTCATATATCGATTTTCTTATTCATTATACTTGGAATGTGTTTCAATACAAATAGAAGCCTCAGAAAAATGCAACAGCTGCTATCAGAAGGCTTTACATGGTACAGCCTTTTGAAGGAAAAAAGTATTATTTAAGAACTTTACTTAACTGTGTAAAAGGTGCTACCAGCTTTGATCACTTGAAGAATGTTAATAAATATATATGTAAAGTTTCAAAGAAGCTTGCATTTGACTAGGCCTCCTTCAAGATGATACTGAATAGGATGCATATTTATTAGAAGCAAGCAGGATATATACAGGACAATAATTGCGGCATCTCTTTGCAACAATTCTTCTTTTCTGCCAACCACAGCACCCTAAAGTATTATGGAGTAATCACAAGGTAGCATTATGTGAAGACTTCTTATATAGAGACTGTCAACTAATGCAAGATCAAAATAGTATAATAAATAAGAGAATCAAATTAGAAGCACTTGCTTAATTCGAAAGCTATCTTATGCTAAATGGTAAATCACTAAAAACTTTCCTAACATGCTATTACCTTTAGAAAGAATACTAGACTATAACTATAATAAAGATTTGGACCAATTAATATAGAAAGAGATATCATATAACATTGTACAATTAGCAAACAAATTAAGCTGAAATGTTCCTTTGTTAAACAAAGATCAATGAGCAATATATAATACTATCATACAGGCTGTTGAAAATAATGGCGAGTGTTTCTTTGTAGATGGTTCAGATAATACCAGAAAACTATTTTTGTATAATATTCTATTAGCATATATCAGGTCACTTGAAGAAATTGCTGTAGCAGTAGTATCTGCACTTTTAATAAGTAGTGGTCATACTGCATATAGTCAATTCAAGATTCACTTAAACCAAATAAATCTTCAATCTGTAATATTTTACGTGAAAGTAAAGAGGCCTGTTTAATTAATAAGGCAAAGCTTTTTATTTGGAACAAAGCTCTAATGGTCCAAAAGTTCATATTTGAAGTACTCAACTGGACTTTTCATAATATTGTTTAAATAGATAGACCATTTGGAGGAAAGGTCTTTATTTTAAGTGGTGATTTTCATTAAGTACTTCCTATACTACTACATGCATCTCTCTCTGATGTTGCCTTAACAACCTCTGTAAATTATTTTTGTAAAAACATATTAAAGTAATGAAATTGTCAATTAATATAGGTTTCATCAGACTGATAATAACGATGAGAATCAAAGACAAAGACAATTTGCCAATTTTCTTTTAAAAATTGAAGAAAGTAAGTATTCAGTCATCCCAGGCACAGAAGACAAGATAGAACTTCCTTTAAACATAGCGATGTCTAGAGAGAAATTACAGGATCTTATCGACTTTGTCTATCCCAATTTGGTTAAAAATTCTAGCGATGTAAATTACATTGTTAGTAGAGCTATTTTAATACCAAAAAATGATGATATTGAGAATATATCGAGCATGATAATAGATCAGTTTTCTAGCAAAATTCATATATACCCTAGCACAGACAACATGAGTTTAATAAAAAATAGTAATGCAGAACAACCTCAGATATATTTACCAAAATTTTTAAGATCTTTAAAAATTTCTGGTCTTTCATCTAGTGAATTAAATCTAAAAGTTGGAATATCTCTCCTACTTTTATGCAACTTAGACCCTGCATATAAATTTTGCAATAGAACCAGACTAATTTGTCATAGCCTTCAAAGTAAAGTTATAGATGCAAAAATAATCACAAAAACACATATTGGAAATCATGTCTTTATACCTAGAGTAACTTTGATACCCTCAGATACTGAATTATCATTTATTTTAATATAATTTCAGTTTCTAGTGTGTGTTGCATTTTCTATGACTATTAACAAATTACAAGTACAAATACTTAATCAAGTCGGTCTTTATCTACTACAACTAGTTTTTCATATGGCTAATTATACGTTATTCTATCAAGGTTAACTTTTTATCAAAATATCAAGATTTTTACTTCAGAAAACTCAAATATGAACCAAGACTGTCAGACAAAAAATGTTGTATATTATGAAGTTTTTTATGATTGAAAAGTAAAAAAGCTCAAAATACTTAGCTTAATATAGAAGATCAGATCAATTAATATCATCACAACACAAGCATCTAATTTGTATATGTATATACTATTAAGTTCTCTCATGTCAAGCAAAAATGGACCCTTCGCATTGTTTCAAAACCAGTAAACTTATAAAATCTTTGTGTACAAACAATAGTAAATAACCAAGCTTTTGTAGTGAATCTACTAGATTGACCACGAATTTTTCAAGTTATGTGATAAGAGCATAATATTTTAAAATTTATTAAAGTTAGAGTTAATGCCGTATTTAGAATTTGGAGATAAGAAATATATAGTAAAATTAATCAAGAAAACTTTTAATTACAGAATTAGAGCACAAAAGGTGAATTCTTATATAAATTCTTAAGATAAAGGATATTTTTTATCAAAACAAATGTTTGATTTGGACTTTCTAATCATGTTATATTACATTTAATTATGGTTTCATATTAGATAAATTTGCTATTCAATTATCATGTGATCCAAGAAATTTGTGGCTACCCTGGTAGATTCTTTTATAGCTAACACAAAACCATATTA